TTCTCAACCAGAACACTATGAGAAACTGAATAGTGTTGAATATTCAACTGAAAGGTTGAATACTTCTTGCACAAAAAGACGTGTTTATTTTTTTCATAACCTCAAAGATACAGGTAGACTGTACAGATCTGTTTGGTTTTGTAGGCTGTGCCTTCTGAGAAAATGATATCAGAAAAATCCTTTAAGGAATAGTTTTTCAATTTTCAGTTCCCTCCATATGAGATTGCAGCTGAGAAGACAACCTACTCTAATGGTTAGAGATTAGCAAAAAAAAAAGAACCACAAATAGCTAAAATGAGCGATCAACACAGGGATAAGTATTTAGAACATTAATCTGAAAATTGCCCTCAACTGAATCTTTTTTCTTATTTAGCAAGCCTTGCGACTTATGGATGAAGTAAAGGAAAGATTAGAAGAGGAAGAAAGACAATGTCAAATATCCTTGAAAAACTTATGGGATGAATGTGAATCTTGTTTAGAAAGTGCCTGCATGAGATTTTATACAACTTGCAAACATGGTTTGCCAACATTTAGAAGAAAGGTAGGAACAAATTTTGTATCTGGAAAATACTCTTGAATTCACCTAGCAGTTTTAGAGACAGCATATCTTAGTTTCTCAATGCCAGCTCTGCCACTTATACCAGGTTACTAAAATTATTTGACTTGGAGGGTGTGGAAATGTGAAGTTATATGGCAGAGATTACATGCAATTGTATTCATTGAACATTGAGCCAAAATGAGATCAGTTGCACCCTGGCGTGACTCCATGGACACTGATTATTGCCCTGACTCCAACAGAGTCACGCCAGATACACTGTTGTCTCTCACAGTAGAACTTACATTAAGATGCTCAATAACCATTTGTGAAAAATACCACACAGATTCTTTATGGTCCATCTGAAAACCAGCAGAGTTGAAAGTGTAGATATAGTCAGCAAAATTTCATGGGGAAAAAATCACCTATTTATACAACATCATTCTTTCCTATACTTAATTTAATCTACTCTTTAAGTAAGAAAATAGCTTTAAAATGCTTAACTGTTTTTTAACAGATAAAACTGTCAGCAAAGGAGATTCCCCTAATTCTGTCAGAAAGAAAATATGCTTTCTTGGCTGGTACATTATTATTACAAGATTTAACAAAATCGTAATCACATTTTTTATTTGGGCATGTGCTTTAAGTGCAGCTTACAACCGAAACTGCGCAATTACTGCTACCGAAATTTTAGCCAGATTACCTAGCTTTCATATCCCCAGGCACTGAAAAATATGATAACTTAAAAATGAAACATAGTATGTTTCAGTAATGGCAAACTTTAGAGCAAAGGTGTTTAACGTTTGTGCATATCTTTAAAATTGTTCAGGTAAAAATGTGGAAGATACTAAATTTAAGACTATTGGTGATACTTTTGGCTTTTTAGATATCTCTCATGGATACCTCAAACATATCTCTTAGATTTTGAGGAGCCTGTGTATGTCAGGTTGAAATTATTGCAATAAAAGTCATATACTGCACTGTCCCTGTCTTTGACCCTCTTGGTAACTTCCTCAGTGAGCTATACGGTTTATTTGAAGCATTCGAAGAAAGAAGTGTGTTCTGACCTAAATAATTCTAAAGAAAGAGGACAAAGACGATAGCTGTGGCTGATGACGCAAAGGCAACAGGGGCAATCCTGTTTTAGGCTGTTCCTGCAGTGCCATTTCACAATGCGTCTTCCCTCTGAGCTGCACTGTTGGTTAGATCAAGCAGCTGATCTGATTTAAAAAAAAAAGGTATACGTGTATGTATACATATGTGTTTGGCAGGGTGTTTCTTAACCCCTACCAGTTTTCTAATGCCATGGAGTGTGGCTCCAGAAAACATTGCATCTTCTCAGGTGAAGGTGGTACATTAAAGCAAGGAGCAGGGAACCGGTGGCTGAGGGGGACTGGGAAGGGAACTCTGCAAAGCAGAGTCAACGCTGGGTCTCTTCCATCATCAAACCATGGACTCTGGGCCACTGCTTCATTGATTTTAATGGGTTTCAGTTTGCACAAGCACGTGAGGACTTGGCCATTGGTGAGAGAGGGTTGGGTGTTTACAGATCACAGTGAGAACAATCACCCTCTGTTCCTTACGCTGCACATGAGTACCACAGAAACGCTTCCAAGATAAAGTCCAAATTGTTTGTTGGAAGAAACCCAAACACGGATACTAACTTTGAGCCTCCACAGATTAAAGACTAACTGGCAAACCTTTTACTCCAGATCTGATTTGGAGCTAATGATTTAGACTGAATGTACTTTCACTCTTCAGAGTCTAGTGTCTTAAATTACTTTGGAGAATATGCTGCGTATGCAGTTATTAAGAGGGCATTGTTTCTATGGGTACTTGAAAAATTAGAGCCACTTCCTTGAGACATGAAAAACTGATAACCCATCAGGCAGCTGATCTATCTCCTTCTTATACACAGGTTGAAGATTTCTTGAGGAAAATACCTCCACTCATTTTTACTTTTCATGAAGATCAAGGAAAAGACATCCAGTTTAATGAAAAGCCTGAGAAAGAGGATACTCAGCTAGTAAAAATGGAAGATTTATTTAGCCAACTATTATCAGACATGGGCTCAGTATTTGACAAAAGTTTCATTTTTTTCAAGCAGATGCAAAAAGAATTTGACCAGTCTTTTCAGACTTATTTCATGTCTGATCTGGACTTGAATGAGTCTCCCAGCATGCCAGCTTTACCTGAGGATACTACCAGAAACGACGGCTCACAGAAAGGCTGGGGTATACCTGGCTTTGTACAGATAGTTTTTGATTTCAGCAAGACGGTGTTTGAAGGTGTCAGTGAGGTGATTACCGAAGTATTTGATGAATACAGAGATAATAGAAGAGATGTGCCAGAACAAGCCAAAGGCAAGTGTTAGAAAATTAAAATCACCTGCACTGTCAATGTGATCAAACTCCTCGGGATTGCTAAACTATGGTTAATGATTCAGTTTGAAGTATGTTAGTGTGAGATGCAGTATGGGAGCATGGGAGCTCTGGAGGCTTTCTTGGTTAAACAGGCATGGGTCAAGGATAACTTTATCAGTTAAATTAAAAGGTACAAATCACCTAGAAATATCAAAGAAGTATCACAGGGGGACTTACAGGTCCTACACAGCCTGATTTTTACAGCAATTCTCAAAGCATTTGCAGGAGTTTCTCAGAAGCACTTGAATTCATGACAAATATAGGTTTTCATAAGGCTGACTGACGGGTCAGTCAAGCCATCCTGTCAGGCTACAATATGTACCATATCATATTGAGATGTCACCAATTCTAAAAAATTAGAGTAAATCTATGACATGTCAAGGCATATCCCTGCCCTTGTCAAAAGCCATTAAGCTCAGCCAGACAGCTGCAAGCCCTGTTTCTAGGCTTCCACAGCAATGCAGTGTGCCAATCAAACACAGACAAGCCATCAAGTTTTCCAGGGACCAGAAAAATTCTGGGCGTAACACTGGTTTCAGCTGATAACTCTCAATAGAGGAAGCAACCCTTGGTCAACTTTTAGAATACAAATAAGTCTTATCCTTCATATCTTACTAATGCAATCAGAAAAACAAGCATCATTCAAACACATGCTGTTGCCTATCTATAAGGAGATCACAGTAAGGACATGCCAGAACTCTGAGTGGTAGGAGACATAACCACTAAATGGTCACCAGGAAATACAAAGTTAAGTGATCCTACAACAGTACTTTTCAATTTTTCCTGTATCATGACCCATGTTACCTCAGAAAGAGCTTTGGTACTGTTCTCTCATCTAGCTGTATGTGATTATGAAACATCTTGACTTGTAAGGGTCAAAAAGATCTTATCAGAACTCACATGTTTTAGAAACAATGTGTGATAATATTAGCAATTATTTGGCTGTTAGTGGGGAATACACTACTGTGCCTTTATAAGGGAAAATACTATAGCGGCATGAATTCCTTGAAAGAAAATATGATTTGTATCTTCTCCTGATTTCTGTTTTTTAATGTTTCATTCCTTTTTTTTTTTGGAGTGGAGGAGGGATGGATTTATGCCAGATGTTTTGGATTAAGGGCAAGAAATTATATTCTAGCACACAGAGTAGGTAACAAATGTGTTTATTTATCAAGACCCTAAGCTTAATGGCGGTCTAAAAATACTGTGACTCCATTCTAGATCCTGAGAGAAGTGGCATGTTCTCAAAAGCTGCGTCAGGGCGCCGGAGGCCTCTGTGCAGGGAGCTTCGGGAGAACTCCTCTGGATGCCCACAGTTTCATGAGAGATGTCAGAAATGTCAAGACAATCTTTTGCACGGTAAATAGCTATTTTCTGATTTTTTTTTCTGTAACGCATTAATGACCAGTTTTTAGATTTTGAGGCTGTCATCTTCCATTGTGCTGTTTCCATATTTTTGGAATTAACATTCAGTCACTGAGTTTTTACTGTAACTACGGATACAAACACTGCTCCTCGTTCCAGACGACTTCAATTACCTTTTCCCACTGTCTCCACAGAGTGTCAGTATAACTCAGTTGTTAACATACCGCTGGAGGTCCAAAGAGAAGTTCTACTCTCGATCGCAAAATGCCTATATATTTTGTTAGAGTTGCCATCCTGCAGAGAAGCAAGAGGTCAGGCAGTAATTGATCCCCGCTGGGTGCAGAAGTGCTGCACAGAAAGTGAGGAGAAGCTCAGACTCCCGATGCTCGCTGCTCCTGCAGACAACCAGACGTAGCGTCAGGTAGCATTCAGCTCCTCACAAGGAAAGCAAGTGCTGAAGAGCCTGCAATTACTCTTTGTCGAACCATGTCAGCAAACAGAGCTGACATGAAGGACAAGAAGGTGACTGCTTGTCAGTACGTAAGGAGATGGCAAAGCTCTGGCATGTGCTGCCCATGGGCACCTGGAAAAAATTCAGACTGCATCATCTAGAACTGCTTTCAGGACTCCTGCTGCAGCATCACACATCTGTGTTTCCAGAATTATTTAGGTGTTAAAAGCCACAGAATATGCTTAAACCCAAATATCTTCAGAATATCTCCAGTGCAGTAAATATTAATGATCCAATGACACATTTTGAAAAGAGTATCAGACCACTTCCATCTGACTAAAATGATAATTTTGTCTACAGCTGTGTATTATAGATACCAATTTGTATCTGTGGTTACTGTACTATCAGCCTGAAGGTCTCCCTTGACAGTCCCATTTGAGAGAGAATAAATGGAATTTTTCCATAGTAATTTTTGTATAGGTTTAATATCACGTTCTTGTTTAAAATCCGTATTTTAGTAAAGAAAAAACCAGCAGTCTTTAGTTCTGAATTAATGGCAGATTATACTAGTCAGATATGAATCTCTACCTGTTGTTAGATAAATGTTAGGCCTTAACACTCAACACAAATACTAACATACATTATGGGCTTTCTTGTAATAACCTATATACTTGGAAGGATTGATAATTAAAGATGTGCAATTAAAACAAAAGACAATGTACAAGGAGATTATGAAGTTGCTACATGTAAAATCTACCAGTTCATATTTAGCGTAACAGATAACCTATTGCCATGAAATATGATATAAACCTGAAAGTACTTGGTAAATCATTGTAATATAGCAAACTGGATAATTAATCCATTTAGTCATTATAAGCCTAAACTAAATATATCAAAGTAGGTCACAAAAAATTACTTTTTTTTTTTTTAAGCATTATTTTAAACACCAACCCAAAACATGCCCCCTTGCTAGACTTTTTTACAGTAGTTTCCTATAAGCTTCATGCTGTCTGTCTTTTTTAACAGATTGCCCAAATGTTCCTGAACTGCACATCAAGTTCGATGAAGCCCTTAAGCTGGTTAATCTCTCGGGGGAGCAGTATGAGCAGATACTCCAGGTGGTTCAGCGTCACACAGAAGACACTTCCTACCTGTTGAACAAAATGAAAGAAAGATTTGGGTGGGTGTCTGAGTTATCCAATATGACCATTGGACCAGAAAACATTTTCAATATAGTTAAGGTAAGGAATATCTTCTGAAGGGAACTATTGCACAGTAGTGCCTTTGACCTATGCTTTGCTCATACTTACACTCTTGGGGATTGTGGATGGTTAGACATGTGTAATGTTTGGGTTTTACAACACAAAGATCCTACCCATCTTGAATTTATCTATGCTTGATAATCCCTTGATGAGCTGAAACTCCAGAGATTAGAAACTATTTTCCTCTAAATCCTTTTAGTCTGATGGATGGCTGACAGGCTAACCTGAATCACTGTCTCATAAGAGTAAATTGACACTAGGAGCTTTGACTGGCCTCAGATTCCCTTCACAGACAAATTTCTCTGTACCAATCAGTAACACATCCTTATTGGATCACTGAATATCTAGCTATATGTCTCTGCCTCTACCTATATTTCCCAAAGCTCAAAGGGGGCAAATGTTATGCAGGTTATTGCAGTGGAAGCTGCCTATCTTTAACAGCATCTATCAATGCTCCAATAAACATGTCATGATTAACTGTATCTTGCACACAAGAATGTATCTAAGGTAAATTCAATCAATTTTCTTGGGCCAGGAACAAATCCTATTCTCCCTTCCAACTCAGAAATCCAATATACAACTATTACTACAAAACTTTACACAGAATGATTGTCCAATCCACAGAAAATCACAAAATCAGGAACAAGGGCACAGGTGATATTTAAGTAGACTTTCTCAGCAGGATCTGAGCTATCTATCTCCTCTAGAAAAATAAAGCTACGGATCTAAGTCTGACTTAGAAAAACATACAGAAAAAATTCATAGGACTGAATAACTCCCATCGCACAACCTTTCGTCTTGAAATTCGTGGGACAACTCACACACAAGTTACAGAATCATAGAATCATAGAAAGGTTTGTGTTGGAAGGGACCTTAAAGATCATCTAGTTCCAACTCCCCTGCCATGGGCAGGGACACCCTCCCTAGATCACGTTGCTCAAAACCTCATTCAACCTGGCCTTGAACACTTCCAGCGATGGGTCATTCACAATTTCTCTGGGCAACCTGTTCCAGTGTTTCACCATCCTCAGGGTCAAGAATTTCTTCCTTATATCTAACCTAAATCTACTCTCTTTCAGTTTAAAGTCATTGCCCTTTGTCCTAGCACTACACGCCTTTGTAAAAAGTCCCTCTCCAGCTTTCTAGTAGGCTCCCTTTAAGTACTGGAAAGCTGCTACAAGATCTCCCCAGAGCTTTCTTCTCCAGGCTGAACAGCCCCAGCTCTCTCAGCCTGTCTTCATAGCAGAGGTGCTCCAGCCCTTGGATCATCTTTGTGGCCCTCCTCTGGACTCACTCCCACAGCTCTATGTCCTTCTTGTGCTGGGGACTCCAGAGCTGAATGCAGCACTCCAGGTGGGGTCTTATGAGAGCAGAGTAGAAGGGCAGAATCACCTCCCTCAACCTGCTGGCCACGCTTCTTTTGGTGCAGCCCAGGATACGGTTGGCTTTCTGGGATGCAAGAGCACATTGCTGGCTCATGTTGAGCTTCTCATCAACCAACACCCTCAAGTCCTTTTCCTCAAGGCTGCTCTCAATCCATTCTCTTCCCAGCCTGTACTTGTGCTTGGGATTGCCCCGACTCATGGGCAGGACCTTGCCCTCGCCCTCCTTGAATTTCATCAAGTTCGCACAGGCCCACCTCTCCAGCCTCCTCTCCTGCCCTCTGGATGGCATCTCTTCCTTCCAGTGTGTCAACACCACCACCCAGCTTGGTGTCATCTGCAAACTTGCTGAGGGTGCACTCAATCCCACTGTCTGTATCACTGGGGATTGCCCCGACTCATGGGCAGGACCTTGCCCTCGCCCTCCTTGAATTTCATCAAGTTCGCACAGGCCCACCTCTCCAGCCTCCTCTCCTGCCCTCTGGATGGCATCTCTTCCTTCCAGTGTGTCAACACCACCACCCAGCTTGGTGTCATCTGCAAACTTGCTGAGGGTGCACTCAATCCCACTGTCTGTATCACTGACAAAGATGTTAAACAGCACCAGTCCCAATACCAACCCCTGAGGAACACCACTCGTCACTGGCCTCCATTTGAACATCGAGCCGTTGACCGCAACTCTTTGAGTGTGACCATCCAGCCAATTCCTTGTCCACCGAGTGGTCCATCCATCAAATCCATGTCTCTACAATTTAGAGACAAGGCTCTCATGTGGGACAATGTCAAATGCTTTGGACAAGTCCAGGTAGATGATGCATAGATGATGTCAGTTGCTCTTCCCTTATCCACCAACGCTGTAACTCTGTCATAGAAGGCCATCAAATTTGTTAGGCACGATTTGCCCTTACTGAAGCCATGTTGGCTGTCACCAATCACCTCCTTTTTTTCCATGTGGCTTGGCATATTTTCCAGGAGTATCTGCTCCACGCTCCTGCCAGGCACATAGGTGAGACTGACTGCCCAGGTCTTCCCTTTCTCCCTTTTCAAAAATTGAGGTTATGTTTCTCCTTTTCCAGTTGGTGGGAACTTCACTAGACTTCCATGACTTCTCACATATGATGGATAATGGTTTAACAACTTAATCTGTCAGTTCCTTCAGGACCCATGGATGCATCTCATGGCCTTGTACACCTGTATGCACTTCCAGGTTCCTTAGATGGTCTCGAACCTGATCCTCTCCTACAGTATGCGGTTCTTCATTCTCAGAGTCCCTGCCTTTGCCTTCTGTGGTTTTTTAAAGTGGGTTTTTTTAAGTTTTCATTAGGAGATTGGAAACTCTTCATAGATGTAGTTAATGGTATAAATATTAACATGCAGTTCTTTAACACGGTCTTGCAGTGCCATGTCAGCTCTTCTCACTGCCTACAATAAGCTTTGGCATAAATTCAGACACCCACTGTCTTTTGAGAAGAAAGTAATTTAAAGAAAGTAGACAAGTCTAAAATATTCTTCTATTTAATTTTCCCCTGTCAAAGACAGTAGGCACAGCAGGTGTAAACAAAACTGAAAGTACGCAGTAGTTTGTAGTGTCTAAAGTACTGATTTGCTCTCTTCTAGGTGGTACCTGGAGATCCCTCTGCTAAAAATGAAACTGTGGTAGATGTGAATATTCTGACTTCACCTACTTTCACCATTAAAGTTCCTCCCAACTTAGACCCAAAGAGTGCTGAATTCATTGAATACATAGCTGGGAAAGCACTGCAACTATATAAGCAGAATTTTTAAGTGGTAAGTTCATTCTTTCTCCTTTTATAGAGAATATAATTCTTTGTAAGAGGTGTTTACATTGCAATAAACTGTCATTGGAACAGGATCCAGTCATGGTATATTCCAGACCATCTTCTCAGAAAGGACACATTGATTGAGAGACAAACACAAGCATTACAGAAAACAAAAACAAATGCTCAATGTTCTACCCTGCAAAACACAGACATGACAATATTAAAAGACTTGACTTATTTAGCTGTGAAACCCTCAATCTCTAAGTAACATCTGGGATGAGGTAATGTGATAATAAATGTTCCTTCAGAAAAGAATTGCCTCACAACCACAGTCTAGAGCCTTGGCATTGGAAGCTGTGTCTTTATATTCATTAATCATGAATGAACTAAAATTACTACTATTCATTATGGGTTTTATTTTAGGTGGTGTTTAAGAGCATGCTCCTTACTATTTTTTATGATAAAAGCATGCAAAGTTAGAATCAGCACCAGGACTTGAACGAGCTGTCTTACCATAACATTTCCCCATTAGCAGTGCTCTACTCAGATTAAGTGTTAGCAGTGTCTGCAGTTGGACTTGTAGGAATGTGCACAAAAAGATCCTTCTCATGCACTCATAGCTAATTTTGTAGAAAGGGCTCACAGAGGCCTCTCTCCATGCTTAAGAGATTTCCGGACAGGGAGGGAAGAATCAGGCAGAGGCATGGGAACACAATGCTTCACGTTCCCTAACTCCATGGAGGAATCTCCAGGAAAGATGGGGTGGTTTGAGGTGGCATCATGTTGCTGTGGGGCTAGCCAGCTATCCAGGGAAACCCAGGGGGCTCTGGGGTGCACAGCTCCAGTGGCCTCCGATTCTCACAGCTGGCTCTCCCAAGGGCCAGAGCCACAAGAGATGTGAGACCTACAGGCAAATCACTGCAGTGTCCCCCCCAGTCTTCTGAGGAGGCACTAGACTTGGACATGGCTCCTCTTGAGGTCATGGGCGTCTGATATCCTCATCTCAGCATATAAAGCATGACTTGAATGCGCACAGAAGTCTCAGGAGGTAGACAAAAAGGATTCAACATTTATAAAGTACATTAAGAAAATAAAATTTCAGCATTTTATATTGACTCTGGTTATTCTTTTGAGTTCAGACTCACAGTTTTTAAAAAGATGAAAGAAATTGCTTCCACCAGAGAGGCTAAGGTGGGCTGCAGAATTTAGACAGAATATAATAAGCCTCACCATGAACTTCAATGACATAAATACTGGTGAAATTATGTGTATATTATACTTAAAACAGAAACTTTTAAAAAGTATTTAGAAACATATAAAATAAAATGTTCAGCACAGTTTCTCTACAACTTTCCTTCAAAACTCTCTGTAATTTACATGCAGTTATTGATATATACTGTTTCAGATGATCTAAGACTAATCTTCAAGGCCTAATGTGACACTAATTTAATTAGTCTGATTATGATTTTTAGCCTGAATCTTGGTCTGAGTCTTCTGTGCAACATATCTTGCGTAGCCATTTCATACCTAATAACAGTAAGTAGCTTTAATTTCCAAATCACAATACCATTTTATGTTCAGTTTGCACAACAGATTCAAGGTACATGAAAGCGTGACGAAAGCAAAGAGTTAAAACACAGAAAGATCTACAAGAAGGGAAAAAGAGAAAAAAAAAAAATCTGTTTCAGTCTGGTTTTTATGTCCTGTATGTTTCTACAGCAGGACACTGGTACATTCCCCATACACTTATTTTTCTAACATCTTCTTCTCAGTCCAAAACCAAAATGTCAAAATGTTTAATCATTTTTTTTTTCTCTTAGGAAAGAAGATGTGTGAAGTCTTTCTTCCTGAAATCCAGTCAGGTATACTCCTTAGGTGAAATACCCCTAAGCTCAACGTACAGCTAATTGTTAAATGACTATGGTTAAAATAGTTGCATATAAATAAAATTTTGCTTAGTAAATACTGTGACATGCGCTAGCAACCAAGGACTGTAGAAATCTTTTAATTCAAAACCAAATTCAAATCCATTTCAATATTAATTTATTTAAATAAAATGTTATTTATGTTGTAAACTAGGTAATCTTTGATAACCAGCTATGGACGTGGTTACACAGAGATTTAAGGAAATAATGAGCTGTAAGCGTACAAATAATTCCTATTTGCATACTTAAATTCAAGCACATTCTTAAGCCTTTTCAAGATTGGTCCCTACAGATGTTGCATATTCAGCTAAGTTTGAATCAACCAGATTTCCATATGCATGTAGCATATTATTTTCCAATGAAAATGTTCCATTTCTTCTTCTAGTTGCTTTTGACGTTTATCACGTACATTAAATGACTTTTCTGAATAAGCAGTAATGAGCAAGCCTTCTGCCTTTGGCATGTCTTACTTGCCATTCGCCTCTGGAGTCATAATTAACAGGGAATCTTTTACCAGAAAAGATGTTTGTTTTTCTCCTACATTACACACATTAGCTTGCAATGGTATTTGCAAATTATAATAAAGGTTAAGAACTGATATATCTCTCAATTAGAAGCAGAGCTCTAGGTGATTTGGTTTCATTTGCTGTGTCTGGCATTTCTAAGCATGTTGCACACAGTTGTCATTCACCATTTCTAAATGTATCTCTGCTAAATGAATGGTATTCATTTCAAAGTGTACAAAATCACCTATATGAGGTATGAGTATAGAAAAATAACCATACTCTAACTACACCATACCTTTTCCTTTACTTCTATACATGCAAGTAAGTACACACGTTTTAATTAGTGGAATAGACAGGTTTTCCTGCCGGCTGTGAGAAGTAGCGTTTTCTAATCCACAGTCGTCTTGTTCCCTTCAGCCTCCGTTGTACACGCCCGTGTTACAGGCTCCTAATCGCCAGAGATCAGAAGTCGTAACGCCTGTAATCACACCAGTTGTCAGAAAATTGGGCTTTATCTGAGGGATAAATGACTCTTACAACATGCTTGACGTATTAGATACACTAACGAAGAGACGTTCAGAGGAGAGTCAGTCGGACTAACAGTAAACCTAGAAAATTTCCAAAGGACACCACCTTGGGAACAGAGTAAGGCAAAATGTGTGTAGTTGGGAGCACACACGCGGGTCCGGCGCCCGGGACGGCCTTTCGTCAGCGGAAAGAGCCGTGCGGGCCCCGAGCGGGCGGCGGTGGATGATTTCCAGCGTGAGGTGTGGCAATTTACACGGGCAGCAGAGGAACCGACACGGCAGCAGAGGAACCTCTCGCCTGGGCGCGGCCCGGGGGCTTTTTTTTCCCGCGGCGCACGGCGCGGGGCCCCCGCCGGCCCTCCGCCGTGGGGGCGAGGGCGCCGCTGCTGCGCTCTCCGCCACGGAGGGAGCGGGTGGCGGAGCTGAGACGTCCTGGGCGATGGGAGGGCCGCGACCGGGAGGGCGGGAAGAAGAAGGGCGGGAAGAGGAAGGGCAGGAGGAGGCGGTGGCGGCG